GAGGAACAACCCTTGTTTTAAGATAGAAAACTTAAAACATATGTTCCTTTGTGGCAATTCATTTCAGGTCTTCCGGGGCAACAAAAGCTTCGTGCGCATTACATACAAATTAGGGGCGACTTGTTTGGTCATTTGATAACACAGAAACTGAACCAAAAGGTTATAAAAAAAACACGTTAACATTAAAGCCAAACAGATGATGCAACAGATCAAACTGAAAAGCATTTAAACTAGGAGATAACATTAGACAACACAGAACAATCAAATGATAACCTTTTGCGAACCATTAGCTTTGAGCCAGTTAACTGAAGCTTGGATATCCTTAACAGCACCTTGCCAGTCAAGACCCTCCATCAGATGCTGAGCCTCAGCAGTATCTAGACCAACCTTCCCACGGTACAAACTGATCCAGGACCCAAAAATTCAAAACCCAACACAAGTTAAGGCATAACTAAATCATTTCTAAAAGAAATGGGGGCTTACTCTGGGATCAGAGCTCTATAACCTGAACCAAGTTTCGCAATTTTCTGAGCATGGTTCTTGACCTCAAAATCAACACCCCACCATTCCTGCAACACAATTATCCCTGGAGCATTCTCTTTGCCCACAACAAAAGCATCAAAAGTCTGCATACAACAAGCCAATATTTCACAATACATCCATTAACTAACTTTTTTCCCAAAAAATAAAGAAGTGACAGGAAGCCACTATGTTTGCTGCGGGTAACAATCTCATGAAGCTGCTTGCAGTACAGACCAAAACAACAATAAAAGAAGGGTAAATTTCACAAAACTACCATGAACTAGGCTCTGTATGGTAAAGTGTTAAGGAAGAGGGATTAAGGAAAAGAATTAATGTAGTTAGCCCATTCGATAACCGAAGGACTAAATTATTAACTCATTAAATAAGTTTTATTTTAGCCATCAGTTTTAGTGTTTGGGAATAACGAGGATTTGGACTATTTTTATTATAAATAGAGGGGTTACCTTTTAATCCTTCAAAATAGGAGTATTCGTAAACTCCACCTCAAAATGAGGGGTTAACTCATTTTAATCACTCTAGAGGGGTTAGTTCAACCATTATGTATTTTTTGCATTTGACAAATTATAGAGAGTTCCTAGCTATTTTGGTTGAACAAATATCTTTTTTTTTCAGTAAATTGTTATAAGTGAGACATTCGTAAAAAGTGTCGCACGTACAGTAGTCTCAACATATTTATCTTTACTTCTTTCTATGATAATTTTTCTTTGATCCCATTTCCTTAACTGCTAGGGCTATTAAGACTATTTTTCTGTAGGTTTAAAACTTAAATGATATTTTCCCCCCGCTAATAAAAGTAGCTTATGGAAGTTTCACAAAAAAAATTGTGAAATTTATCCAATTTATCCATAAATTAGCAAACAAAACTAGGGTTTCTCAGAGATGTTAGTGCTTTGAAGATCAAATTAGAGATCAAGAAAAAATAAACCGAGAAAGGAAGAGCAGCTCACGGTGTCGTCTCTGGTGATCTGAACTTTCTGAAAGCCATCGGAGGCGGTGGCGGCCATGGACCGTGAGGAGACGAAGGAAGCAGAGAGACGAGAGAGAGTGCGGCGAGAATGAGCAGCGGATTTAGAAGATGAGAGGACTGATGCCGCTCCTTTAATGAGCACGCTGGCCATTTCCCGATTACGTTGAGATGTCGCTTTTATAGTTATTTATTATTTAATAAAAAGGACAGGTTGAAGAAAGAATGGGTTCCTTGGGCCGAGTCTAGAAACTTCTTGTCTCATCCTTAACTAGTAATTCTTTGATCCAAGCCCAAAGAACCTGGCCCAAGCATTACAGTCTCTTTATTTTGGGGGTTTAAGTAAATGCAAATATTTTAACTCGAAAAAAAAGGGATTATAGAAATTAAATTCGTAATTTGTGTGGGGGATTTGGAATAGGGGTCTATTAGAACATGTCTATGAAGTAGGGCGGTTTTCGAAATAGATAAGATAACTACAATTCCAAACTAATCCTCTGCTCGCCCATGAATATTATTGATCGGTATAATTTATGTTTTCTTTTTTCTTTTTCTTTTTTTTTTTTTTGATTTTGAGTGGTTACTGGTTAGAATCTCTACTCAGGACTTTAGCACGCAATGTGTGCATATCCCGTCCACTATGCATAAAAAATACTCTACAATGACATTTATTGTCATATAAAATTTAAAAGGTTTTAAACATTGAATAGCTTAAAACAATATAGGCAAACTTAGTATTAAACATTGTATCCAGTTGAGTTTCATATATTTTTGATAATTACTTATCTCATCATGTCAAAAAATCTAATTTGATGATCTTTCTCATGAAAAAATGAAGAGTCTTGAAATGCGGGCTGTGCCTTGCAATTTATTTTTTTTTATCGTTTTTACATATATTGACATGTAATCTCGATCTTCATAGGTAACGGAAGATATCAATTATGTACACTATCTCATTTTGTCATGTAAAATATAAAAAACTCATTGGTTAAAATAAAATTATATAGAGAAATCATATTACACACCAAAAATCATGCAGTACTCGAAACATCTTTGTACACGATATTTTTTGTGTATGTTTCATCCTTTTATGTTGCATCTTTTACTAAAAAATTTTGTTATTTCCTTTGAAATGCCTCTGGACGATGCCACATAAAGTTGACCATGATTGAATACATGATGTGGCAGATATATTCCAACACGAGGTATTATATGTCCTTGTAACTTATCGATTGTTAAAGCAAAGCTTAAACGAGTCGGAAACTGTCTCCGTATCATCATTCCAAATGGGAGCTCAATATCTTCAAAAGGCTTAAGTGGGATTCTAGGTAAGAAAACTCTTGTGCCCTTAGATTGACTCGTCATAACCTCAACGTCAATAAGGTTTCGGTGAAAAGCATGGCATATCAACCTTGTACTATTACATAATCCTATTATTAGATCAAGATTACGCTACAGCATAACTGAGGCCCCAACTCTAAGTATTAATTTGTGAGGAGGCAGACCGCCTAGAGATATGGAATTTTAAAAAATCTTGTTGATATAAATTACGGGTGTCATCTTGTACTTCATCAAACGAATAATAAATATGCTCTTCTCCAGGGAAATTTCTTATCACCATGTCATTTAAACAATCAACATCTTCATTTCTAGGTGTTATGTAGATTTGGCGAAGGAGTTGGTTTAGAACAAGTTTTGGAAGTAGGAATTGGTTTTTGGCGGTGTGCAGTCGACCGCGGTGCAAGGTCGGTCGACCGTATTCGTGCACGGACCCTGGGCTTGATTCAGGTCTTGGTGCGGTCGACCATCATGGTCAACCGCTAGACCTTGTAATCCAAACCGAAGAGTCTGGAGTTGGGTGTCTTCGACTGTCGTGATCGATCGTCGAAGCTTGCAGTTGTTTTTTGGGCTCTATCATTTGTCGCGGTCGACCGCGTATCGGGTCAGACCCAAATTTGTAGTTTCCTGTTTTGAATTGGTTTGGTGTTTAGTATAAATAACAACACGTTTTACGGTTTCTGTGGAGCTGTTGTGGGGATATTTGGAGCACAGATAAGAGCTATTTTCTGGAGCTATTGGTTAGGGTTTTGTTTGAGAGATTAAGAGCTTTGTTGGTGAGATTAATTTGTGAGTTTGAGTGATTTGTAATCTCAGTTTGTACTCTTCTTCTCTATTAGTGAAAATTTCATCCTCTTCTTGCCCCGTGGACGTAGGCAACTTGCCGAACCACGTAAAATTGGTGTGTTTGTGTTTGTGTTGTTGTTTTGGTTTGTTTGGTCTTCTCTCTCGACGTTTGGTTTGGTTCCTTGAAGCACAACAATTGGCTTCTGCGCATAACATGTTAGCAGATCTCTCTCAGTCATGCAGTGTGCATTGCCAATAATTGTACTCATATGTGGAATTATGGCACCGATCAAGGATTTAACAGATTGATCTCCTGTCCACGGTATCACCATTGATGCTAGCTAGGATTTCGATCATGTCATCATTTATAGATTCTTCTTCTCCATTTCTAACACGTAATAGGAACTTAGTGATACGAGTCGCCGTGAGAGCACCCTTTGATCGTGGAATTACCAAAAGGCGGGTTGAGAAGAGGATGACCAAAACACAAAAACAATTCAGTATGGCGAAGGAAAATACCTTCTCTAGATTATGAAGAACAAAAGATTACAATCTCTCCCTCACAATCTCACTAGAATCGAGAACAACCTCTCAATCCTCTTTAAACCCTAATCTCTCTTGATTAGAATCTCTCTTGATCACTTCTCTCTGAGATCTGATTCATCTAAACCCTAATCCTTTTGATCAAGATTTCACTTAGACCTAAAACCATTTAGGACTACATCTTGGCCTCTAACCTTCTTGTTTAGAACCCTAAACAATCCCTATTTATAGGGTTTAGAACGTGGTGGTAATCTTGTAAATAAACAAGTCCAAAAGGATCAGGAATCCCTGTCAAAACAGAATCCAAAACGAACCAGGAAAAGCCAAATATCGCGATCCGGTCGACCGCCAATCCTAGTCCGGTCGACCGGCCAGAGCGCTTCTGCAAACCCTGCCTTGTGCAGGTTTTCCGGTCGACCGGCATGGGTGCCGCGGTCGATCGGCCAGAACCCGACCCTGTTTTCCTGATCTTCTGTGTTTCACTCCTTTTGACTTCTTTCGCCGTCCTCTATGGCTCCAACCACGCCTCTATTCTCAAGATATCATGAGAATCACATATCCTCAAGCTCCCATGAGGATTGTTTTTCCGAAGAGAAGATACACCCGTATCATGGGTCCCCCCTTTAGAAACTTAAGGTCTCTTTCAAGTTAGAACTTCAGCTGAGGAAACTCTCGAGCCCCTCTATCTTTGTTGCCTTCAGTCATCTTCTTATTCCTTAGTCTCTGAACTCTTTCCAAAGAAAAAGGATCTCGCCAAGCTTCTTGTATTGCGATCGAGTAAGTACCATACACAGGATGCCCCTTCACCGGATCTGATGCTCTGATACCAACTTGATACGAGTCGCCGTGCGAGCACCCTTTGGTCACGGAATTACCAAAAGGTGGGTTGAGAAGAGGATGACCAAAACACAAGAACAATTCAGTATGGCGAAGGAAAATATCTTCTCTAGATTATGAAGAACAAAAGATTACAATCTCTCCCTCACAATCTCACTAGAATCGAGAACAACCTCTCAACTCTCTCTCTAAACCCTAATACAATTATTAGAATTTCTCTTGATCCCTTCTCTCTGAGATCTGATTACAATCTAAACCCTAATCCTTTTGATCAGGATTTCACTTAGACCTAAAACCATTTAGGACTACATCTTGGCCTCTAACCTCCTTGTTTAGAACCCTAAACAATCCCTATTTATAGAATTTACAACGTGGTGGTAATCTTGTAAATAAACAAGTCCAAAAGGATCTGGAACCCCTGTCAAAACAGAATCCAAAACGAACCAGGAAAAGCCAAATATCGCGATCCGTTCGACCGCCAAGCATGGTCCGGTCGACCGGCCAGAGCGCTTCTGCAAACCCTGCCTTGTGCAGGTTTTCCGGTCGATCGGCATGGGTGCCGCGGTCGACCGGCCAGAACCCGACCCTGTTTTCCTGATCTTCTGTGTTTCACTCCTTCTGACTTCTTTCGCCGTCCTCTATGGCTCCAACCACGCCTCTATTCTCAAGATATCATGAGAATCACCTATCCTCAAGCTCCCATGAGGATTGTTTTTTCGAAGAGAAGATACACCTGTATCACCACGGTATCACCATTGATGCTAGCTAGGATTTCGATCATGTCATCATTTATAGATTCTTCTTCTCCATTTCCAACACGTGATAGGAGCTTAGTGAATGTGTGATCATTTTGTGCTCTCATATTTTGTCTCAAGTGCAAAACCTGCACATGATGCCATAAACTTGATCTTACTATAGAGGAGTTTATAGTCTCAGCTTTAGTTCCAGGCTGTCAACTAAAAGGACTTGTCGAAAGTAGGGGTGGGCAAAAACCGAAAAAAATCGGTTCAACTGAAAAAACCGCTTGAAAAAGTAGATCGGTTAACCGAACCGAATTAAATGGATGAGAAGAAGTCTCTAAACTGCCCGAACCGAATTACACCGGTCTGGATCTGGTTTGAACCCCTGAACCATCCAAAAAAACCGACCCGAATTCTCTACTACTATAAATACTTAAAAATCCCTAACCCTACCTCCATTTCTCCTAGACTCCCACAACACCGCCTCTCCCCTCTCGCCTCTCCTTCTCAAAATATGTTTTAGGGTTCTCTCTGCCCTTTTAATCTCCAAAGTACATACAAATTTTGCTGCCTAAAATTGCAAGAAATCGAAGTCGAAGCATCCGTGATCCCAGATACTCGAAGGTAATTCTTCTCCTCTTCTCTCTCCTTAAGATTCTTGTAGAAACTCAAGAAAACCCGTAGAAACTCAAGAAAACCCTAATTCGATCTACTTCTCCTTCACGCTGGCGACAACTGATCTCCCCACCGACTGCATCATCCGCGATCCCATCATCCACGATGACCGACGCATCATCTTTGTTCATGTCAAAGTTTCTATTTTTTTTTTAATTTTTTTAATTTTTTTGGGGGTTTCAATAGGGTTCTGGGTTTGTTAATATTTTATATAGCTTGTTATTTATACAGAGTGGATAAGGATGAAGGA